CTACTGATTTATTATCAGTATAGATCAGATACCTATAATATAGAAAAATAAAATTTCTTAGTTTATTTAATTTTATCCGCCTGAGTCAACCCTACCAAAATAAATAATAATTTTACCGCTCCCTAGAAGCTTAATCTCTATTCCGTTTCTTTGTGCATGTGCCTTGTGTACCTATTTATTTTTGATTTAGTGACTATTTAGTGACGTAGATCAGTTACAATGTCGCAAGCGTCCAAAAATTATCAGAAAAATAAAAACAAAGAGAAGCTAATAACTAAAAAAGCGCTCAACACCAAAGCTTAAAATTGAAGAAAAACCGTGTTCCAGTCAACGAACAGATGAACGCATAACTATTTCACACAATATTCCAAATATTGCGGAGGAGATTCAGAACAGTCTATATCAACGACCACCGCAGAAATATCTGTAGTTTTTGCTGATATTCAGAGTTATTTTGCAACAACCGGCCACATTCGCAAATAATGTTCACATTATTGTGAACATTCTTTGCGAATGTACCCGACCCCGACCCGTTTAGAAAGTATCTTGGAAGAAGAGTATCGACACTCAACTAATCCCGTGGCAAGTTTGGAAGTTAAATCGCTTACAGCCAATTTGGAGAAGTTCGAGTTTTTGCTGTCTTTAGTTATTTGACCCATTTTACCGGAATTGAGGCATTCCATATCAGTCCTCAGGGGTGACAACGCATCTGCATTTTTATTAATCGACGTTAAATGATGATGTCTATGGGCCACAGGACCCACAAAAAATGGTGAAGAAAAATTTATTAAAACATCTCAAAAATTCTGTCTTTTTAATCTTTTAAATTCAAAACGCGTGGTTATTTATTATTTTAACTGATTTTACTTCAAACGCACACGTTTAAAGGTCAATCGTGAGGCAAAAACGTTATTGCCCATAAACATATGCAATTTGGGATAATTTCAAATAAAAGTTAAAGCCTTATTCACGCGTATTTTCCATAACTGAAATAACGAGATATCATTATTTATATATTTGAACATGATGCGGCCACAGGCTGTCCCTTCAATTGCGGGTCGAAGAATCAGAAAATGGTAGAGCGATAGGGTCTGGGGTTTAATTCCCGTGTCGGGCCAAAATTTGTTATGCGAGATCCATTTTGTTATATGCGTGGTTCTCTATAACTAAACAAGATGGCTGATGTGGCACGTGGCAATCTTGGACAATGCACTCGCTATTACCTAATCTATTATTTAGCCAGTGCCCTGTGATGGAATTAAACTTGAGCCGTTAGGATAAAGATAACACAGTAAAAAAAAATAACAGCTCAAGACAATTTAACGGAGCACTTACCGGGGTGGGGTTCCTTCTGCTTCAACGGCCTCGAGGAAGATGCCCCTGGTATTGCGACTGCGTTAGAAAAGCGGTGCCCAACAACTCTCAAGAGGCGAGGGCTAGTTTGTATATAATACCTAGGACGGTCTGCGCTTACTTTCCTAAAAATTGTGATCCATGCTCGACTTAATTAAGGAAACACGGGTGTTATGCATGATCTCAGAAACCATGCGTCCACTATTCACTTTTGATAAAAATTATATAGTGAAACTACCCTCCAGAGAAGACTGGCTGAATGACCAGGTTAACTGTGAGGTCGGTAGCCTCATACGGTATAACGATGGGTCTAAAATGGGCCTCAACGTAGGCTTTGGAACTAATGGGGAATGCCCCAAATTCGAACTTAGTATGAATTTGGGTAGCTTCACCCCTATCTTCCAGGCAGAAAGTTTCGCCATACTTCAGTGTACGGAAATCAATCTGCAAAAACGCTACGTCAACCATATAATTTATATAAACTCTGATAGTCAAGCAGCACTGCTAGCACTGAGATCTAACTTAATGAACTTGAAGCTGGTTGGAGACTGCATAAACCGTTTAAACGCCCTAGGATATAACAACAAGATCATCTTAAGATGGGTTTCGGGTCATGCGGGTATTATAGGCAATGAATTTGACGACAAACTCGCACGGAAGTGCTCAAAGAGTACACAATTTGGACCTGAGCCATTTTGTGGAATCTCAAGAAGCCTAGCTAGATTGACCCTTGAAACTCTATCACAATAATTCACTTAAGATCTGGTCTGAGACACCAGGCTTAAAACATTCTAAAACCTTAATCCGGGCTTTTGATCGTAAATTCGCTTCAGAAGCCCTGGGATTAAGCAAAAATAAATTGCGCATTCTGGCAAAAGCCTTAACTGGACACTGTTTTCTTAAAAAACACCAGTCCATCCTGGGACTAAGCAACTCAAGAATGCGTCGGTTCTGTTCCATAACGAAAGAGACGCCTCTACACATCCTAACTGATTGCGGACCCTTAATGCGCAAAAGTAACACTCATATGAAATCCATGTACTCCGCCCAGAAGGAGTGAAATTTCTCACAGCTAAGCATTTTCTATTCGTTGAAGACGTAGCTAGCGTAGGACTTAGCAGTGAACTATAGCCATAGCAGCGATCACAATAGATGTTTTAAGTCGCAGTGATACTGGTCTCTTTCACTAGACCTGCGTAGCCGCTCGCACATAATAAAATTAAAATAAATTTATTTTGAATATATACCATAAACATAGATGAAGGTTATGCTAACATTATAATTTGTAAATTCTCTCTTCATAAAATATAAAATAACCTTTGATGTTGAATAAAATCAAATATCTATTAATTTTGACTTTCAAAAGAAAAATAGTTCTGGTGATAACTGTTCCATGACAAGGAATTAAGTTGCCATTAGATTGAATAGGGAAAGAGTCTCAAGATCTGCGCAGTTGCCCGCACAAAATAAAAAAATTCACTAGAATAGTTTGTTGTTGCTTACTTGATTCCGTTATTACCTTAACCTGATTTTATTAATCCTAGTAAAATTATAGTGATAGGTTAGAGCGTTTGGAGGGAATCCCGAAAGTTGGTTAGGTATTCGGACAGCATTAACTAAACACGGAAACCCATCGCCTAGTCTCGATGCATCTTAATGAATGTGCAGGCATTGACACCGATTATAATGCTTACGATTGTGTTAATACTGACCTAGACTCAGATTACAATTATAGTAATGACTGTTCCGCCGATTCTACTTACGAATAAACACATTATTAAAATAAGCATCAGGAAAAGTAAGCATCCGAGTAATAACAATCATATTAGTTTATAAACCCAAAATTTAGGGAATACTACGACATCATCGATACAGTATGTTATTATGGTGTACTATGACATCATCGATAGAGTATGTTAGGTAGGCTAATATTATTTGTCTTTAAATTTCCATTAATTAGCAAAGAAAACTTCGAATTATATATATTTGCATTAGTACCCAATAGGCCAGGCTCTATACCTCTATTCCTATTCATTTCAACCATACAAAACTCATTCTTATATATATATATATATATATATATATATATATATATATATATATATATATATATATATATATATATATAACCTCTGAGGATCCGTGACATATATATCGCCGCGATGAGGTGGAGGAGTTACATATGGACCTTGGAAGTAATCAGTAGTAGATTGTTGTATGATAGATGATATGACTTCCTCTGTCATTAGCACCGCCTGCTAAGCAAATAAAAGCACGTCAAAGACGTGAATTTATAGGAATTAAGAATTTCAAAATAGTATAAAAACCAAGGTTCATTGTTGAGATTGCCCAGTACTCGTAGTAGTTAAGTGAAATTTGTAAGTTAGGTAGTAGTATTTCTGTGCTCACATTAGTCGCAGCGATAGTGACTTAACTTGTAAGTTAAAAAACAAAAAGTAATATAGGAAAATGTCTTCGTCTCTTTCCATTACAACCCTCCCTAAGCTGCCGCAATTTTTTTTAGCTCAGAAATTACTGGATTTCCATTAGGTGAGAGTAGAGTACAACCTCAACGCTTCGCTTATGAGCCATGCAATTGAAAATGACGGGAAAGTGTTTTACTTTTTGGAACGAAGTTCCTTATCGCGCGTTGCGAAAGGGGGCTAGACGGGAAAAATTAAGACCAAAAGTTGTAACGACACTTTTTGCTATAGTTGGAAACCGTGCGGCGTGCGCGTGTTTCTCTCTCTCTCTCTCTCTCTCTCATAGAAAGCAAGCCAGTTATTTTCGTTTCGTCTTTCTATTTCGCATTGAATAGTGTATACGGGTATTTTGTACATAGTAAATAATAAAAAAATAATAACAATAATGAATCCACGATACGGTGCCGGGCCTGGGCGTCTCCCGTTAATGGACGCCCATATTATGGATGATGGAGAAAAAGATAGTGCGCAAAGGGCCGCTGCCTGGAGGTCGCCAGGGCGCGTCTGGAGCTGGCGCTGGACGCGACAGCATGCGGGCCGCCAGCCGAGCGCGGGGTGTTGCAAGACCACCTAGCAGCCCCCCGCATCCATCATCCCCACCAGAAGGCTTGGTGTCGGCTGGGTCTTCTCGGACTCAGCAAGCGGCACCCGCCGCTGGTGGAGCACGTCGCATGCGTTGGTCTAAATCAATGAATGAAAACGCACTGCGGGCGTATTTTAGGGCAAAAGGGGAAGAAACTGGATGTTTGGCGTATCGGGCTCGGATGCATCGCTTTTTTGCAGAGTTGGAGCCATCTCTATCCGTCACTGAGCAAAACCTGGCAGACCGAGTTAGGTACATCCTGCGCTCCAACATATTTGGTGACGCCGAACTCGAGCGACTACGACGTGAGGCTATTCCTTCATCGAATGGAAATGCTACGGCTGGGAATGCGGCGCCACTAGATGCGCAACAAACTGCATATGTGGATGCTGCCGTCAACATTCCATTTGTGGATAATTCAGACGATGATGGAATAGTCTCCCACGAACTAGAGAAAATGAGGAGCATATTGGAAGAGTCGATGCTGGAAACGCGCAGCATGCCTCTCGAAAATCGACCGCGACTTCCCCCGCATACCCCTTAGCAAGCGAAATCGGGCTGTCGTGCGGGCTCTTAACCCAATGCTGGTGACCTATTTGGAAGCCAGCCGGGACCTTTGCGAGACGGATTCAATTCTTTTTGGCGCCGCACTGGCAGTATGCCGTATTATTGGCGCCAAACTTCCCGTGGCTGGACGTGCTACTCAAAAAAGTAGCGCCATCCCAGCCTGGAGAAAAAGAATTGAGGACCGTATCGCAAAGGCAAGGGCCCTTATCGGCAGACTGACAAGCTTCAGGTCGGGTAATAATAGACCGAGGATTATGCGCACCGTTAGGATGGCGTTTGCTGGGACAAATATCAATTTGTTCCAGCCGGATATCACGCAAAAACTAACGGAGCGCATAGATGACCTGAAGCAAAAAATCGCTGCTTGGGGGAAGCGGATTCGACGATTTAGCGAGAGGTCAAGGCGGTTCAACCAGAATCGTCTCTTCCAGAGTGATCAGAAGAGGCTCTATAAAACATTGGAGCGACCAGAGGTATGTGGAGCGGGCCCAGGACCGGATCAGGCTGACACTGTCGCATTTTGGCGTGGCCTGTGGTCAGAGCCCGTAAACCACAGCGAGGGCCCTTGGATGGAAGTTGTGGCGAGCCAGAGTGCAAGTGTTACGCCTATGGACCCCGTCACCATAACGCCTGAAGACGTGGCTGAGGCGGTCCGTAGGGCCCCGAACTGGAAAAGTCCGGGGCTCGACGGGCTGCATCATTACTGGCTGAAGGGGTTCGTAGTGTGTCACGCTGTGCTCGCCCGACAGTTTCAAGAGGCTCTCGATCAGAAGTCGCTCCCGAGCCTCTTCACTACTGGGATCACTCATTTGGTTCCTAAAGATCAGGATACCACAGACCCGAGCAAATACCGCCCCATCACGTGTCTACCCACCATATATAAGACACTGACATCCATTTTGAACGCGAGAATCACTCGTCACCTGGAGCTAAATCAGGTGATGTCACGCGCTCAAAATGGATGTCGGGGCGGTGGTCGTGGAACCAAGGAACCACTCCTCATTGACGCGGTCATTGGCAAAGTGGTGAAACGCAACCGTCGGAATTTCTCCACCGCCTGGATAGACTACAGAAAGGCATTCGACTCGGTGCCCCATACATGGCTAAAGAGAGTCCTCCAGCTGTACAAAATTGACTGTACAGTTGGAGACTTCCTCGAGCAGTGTATGGGGCAATGGAGTACGATCCTTTGCTATCTGGGCGAGCGGATGATGGCTGCGGAGAACCATATAAGGATAAGAAGGGGTATCTTCCAGGGCGATTGTCTGAGTCCAATCTGGTTTTGCCTCTCCCTGAACCCTCTCAGTACTTTACTGGAGGGCTCCGGGGGGGATTTCAGCTTCGGAAAGGAGGTACAAAAGTGACCCACCTTTTCTATATGGATGACCTCAAGTTATTCGCCTCCAGTCGCTCCCATCTTATGGAATTGCTAAACATCACTTGTGAATTTAGCAATTCTATTGGAATGGAGCTGGGAACGGATAAGTGTGCGGTCCTCCATGTTGAAAGGGGGAGGGTTGCTAACTCTGAGGGCATAGACTTATCTATGCCCGTCAACTTAAGGACCCTTTCCGAGGCTGAAACATACCGATACCTGGGTATGTCACAGAACATCGGTATCGATGAGGCTGGTATGAAACAGTCAGTTTGCGACGTATTTTATGCACGCTTGATCAAAGTGCTTAACAGCCTTTTGTCCGGTGTGAATAAGACACACGCATATAACGGCTGGGTCATGCCTGTCCTCATGTATACCTTTGGCATACTCAGGTGGACTCAGACTGAACTTAACGCCCTGGATAGAAAAGTCCGCACTACCATGACGTCCCACAGGATGCATCATCCGAGATCGTCGGTAATGAGGCTGTACTTGCCGCGAAAGCATGGTGGGCGTGGCTTCTTGAGCGCGCTCACCATGCATAATCGCGAAGTGTGCAGCCTCCGTAATTACTTCCTGGCGAGATCGGATGATCCATTCTATAAGGACGTCATTTCTAGTGATAAAGGGCTTACCCCTCTATCCTTAGCCAACGAGCAATGGCAAGACCCGGCAGTGCAGACAATTTCCGACCGGGAGAACGTATGGAAGGAGAAGGAGCTCCACGGGAGGTTCTACAAGGCTCTACATGAGCCTTTCGTAGACACAGTAGCCTCCCTCCACTGGCTACGCTTTGGTGATCTATTCGGGGAAACCGAGGGTTTTGTCTGTGCAATACAGGATCAGGTTATTAAGACCAACAACTATCGGAGATACATCCTAAAGGATGGCACCGTGGACATCTGTCGAGCTTGTCGCCATCCCGGTGAGTCACTTAGGCATGTCATCTCCGGTTGTTCGGCGCTTTCTAACTCTGAGTACTTGCACAGGCACAACCTAGTAGCCAGAATTCTTCACCAGGAGCTCGCTCTGAAATACGGTCTCGTGGATCGGAAATTGCCGTATTACAAGTACTTGCCGGAAGCCGTGCTCGAAAATGATCGCGCCAGGCTCTATTGGGACCGGGCCATCATCACAGACAGGACTATTCTTGCGAATAAGCCTGATATTGTGCTGATGGACCGGGCACAGTCAAGGATATTTTTGGTCGACATTACCATTCCGTATGACGAAAACCTCGTGAAAGCCGAAACAGACAAGCAAACAAAATATCTGGACCTGGCTCACGAGGTGACTGACATGTGGGGTGGTCTGCCGACCGAAATTATTCCTGTAGTCGTCTCTGCAAACGGGCTAATCCCAGTCAGCCTCTCGGGTCATCTGAGGCGACTGGGACTACGTGGCGGACCGCTCCGGGCTCAAATGCAGAAGGCGGTGCTCCTCGATACCGCCCGCATCGTCCGCCGGTTTCTTTCCCTTTCCCCCTAACCCTCGGCCGTTTGGTCTCCCCTGCCGAGGGCCTCCATCTGGTTGGGCTTTTATTTATTTATGTATTTTTATATTTATTTTATGTTATTGATATTTATGTATATTTATCTTTTCATTTTCATTTATAATTATATATTTATAGAACCCAACCAGATGAGAAAACTATATAGATACCCCACAATAATGAATCCTGATAGTGTTTCTGCACAAGTTCCGGATATTGCTGATGGAGAGATGGAGATTTTATACAGACAGTAATAAATGCTTATGTATTTTTAGCAAGTACTCATTATAACCTCTCTTTATTATTGTGCTAACCAAGTCATACGCGTTAAAATGTCTCCATTATTGTGTGTTTAGCAAGTCATAACTTTAATAAATTTAAAAGCAAATTATATTTTAATATTACAATATCAATGCGTATGTATTTAGCAAACCGTGCGTGTTCTAACCTATACGCTGTTGTGTTTACGAAGTCGAGGGAGTACCTACACATATACAGTATGTAACAAAAACCCTGTTGGTCGTTTCAGGGACGTATAGGTGTACACATAGGCATGGGCAATTATTATAACGAAATTTTTTTTGGTTGCTTTAAATGGGGTTTTTGGGTTTCTAATAAGATAACTTAAGAAATATTAAATTTCTAAAAATGTTATTTGCTCCTGAACTTACCGACACGTGCCGACATAATATTATCACAGAATAAATAATAGTCTACGGCCGATATGAGGTCACTGACACGGCCTACTCAAAGCAAGCCGCTAAGCGGCTTGCTTTGAGTAGGCCGTGTCATCTTTTCTGTTTTTTATCGTCGGTCGATAAAACATATAAGCCGGTGTCGCAAATGTGTGACAGGTGGACATAATATTGAACAACATCTTCGTGGTCGTCATATTTATTATTTAATCTGTGCTAATATTTGGTAGTAATATTTAAAAACATGGGAAGTTTTATAAACATAAAATTTTGTCACAATTCTGTGGTCAAGAATAGAAATAGAAATAAGTATTGTTTATCGTCGGTCGATAAAAAAAATGGTAATTATTAGATTTTGAAAAACACAGCAGCATAATAAATTAAGTATTTGTTATTGTGTGGATTATTAACACAATTTTTAAATGTTTCTTGTTATAAAAGTATTTTAATGTATTTTTACTAATCCTAGCTATAATTTATGTCCGAGGATGTTAAATGATGATTTAAAATATATCTCAGAATGGTCTACTGTGTATGGCATAAACGTGAACCCGTCTAAATGCCAATCGATAATCTTAGGTAGCTCAAGATTATTATCTAAACTGGATATTGCCACCCTACCATCAATTATGTTTAATAATAATGTCATACCATTCTCTACTAGCGTAAAGAACCTTGGTCTGTACATCGATGATTGCTTAACATGGAACAAACATATACAGGAGGTGAGTCGCAAAACTACTGGAACTTTGCGATCTCTATATCGATTTAAAAACTTTCTTCCCACCAATACCAAGATTTTACTTGTCCAATCACTTATTGTACCGATTATTGATTATGTCGATGTGTGTTGCTCAGACCTGTCTCAACTTCATCTTAATACATTGGATCGTCTGCTAAACAACTGCATCAGATACATTTATGGTCTTCGTAAATACGACCATGTATCTTCCTTTCGTACACAGTTAAACTGGTTGCCTATCCGTCAGCGCAGATATGTTAGAATACTCTGCACCCTTTTCTCAATTTTGAACGATCCATGTGCTCCCGAGTATCTGAAATCTAAATTTCAATACATGGGAGATTCTCATAATTTTTCTCTCCGCTCCTCGGCCAATCTTAAGTTACTCACTCCTTTACACCGTACTGGTTATTTATCTCACTCTTTCGCCCTCGTGGCCATCAGACTCTGGAACGACATCCCTCTTGACATTAAAAAAAGCTCCCAACAAATTCGTCTTTAAAAATCAAGTCCGTAAGTATATGATTAAATCGTTGCAAGTTTGAATTGACTAAGCGCTCTTTTTCGTATATATTTCATATTTGTTCTGACATATATAATATTTATACGAACCTATTGTGTATGTATATATATATATAGATATATATTTATGTATTTATGTGTATACAGTGTATGTATGTATGTATGTAAGTATATATATTCTATTATATATTATATATGTATATATATATATGTATGTATATAATATCTATGTATTGCTTATTACATATATTATTATTTCTTTTATCCTCTCTATTTGATTATTGCTGCACCACCTCCATAATGTCTATCTCTGTTTAGCCTAATGGTTGACTGGGAGAGAATGCCCTATGGCATTAAGTCCGCCATATGTACTTTTTTTTTGTGCATGAAAGTATAAATAAATAAATAAATAAATTTAATTGTTAATAACACTTACGGACGCTGTCTGAAGTAAATAAATAAATAATAACTATTATTAAAAAAAAATAGCACAAAAAATCACGAAATTTTTTATCGATTTAGAAAATATCAAAATTATGTTATAGAGTACAATAGCTTTGCCACGTCTATGCAAACAAACAAGCACCAGTAGCGCGTTAGCACTGATATTGACGGTTGTGTTTTATATTGCGAAATTAATATTCCGCCGTGAGTGACTTGTGTGCGATGTCTTACTCAAACGAGGGATATTTTAATATGTTGATGTGTCTCGGGAAATGTGACTGCAATTATGCATCAGCACGAAGACTTTATGAGGATTGCTTTGCTACTCCACGAAATATACAATTGCCGTCGGCGATGACGTTCCAACGACTTCACATTCGTATGTACAATACTGGCAGTTTGCATGGCCGTGACCAATAACGTACAGATTTAGGAAGACCGAGGATGTACGACGACGACATCGAGGAGCACATTCTCGACATGTTTGAAGATGCGACACGGAGCACGCGCTCAGTGGCACGTGAACTAGATGTGAACCATATGCGCGTTTGGAGAGCCCTCAAAGATGATGGCCAGCACCCGTATCATTATCGTCGAGTTCAGTGTCTTCTTCCCAACGACTACGAGCCAAGAATGGATTACTGTAGATGGTTACTTGATAAGGTTGAAGGAGATCCTGAGTTTTGAACCGCGTACTTTTTTACGAATGAATGCTCTTTTGTAAGAACAGGTGTATTTAACGCTCATAATGAACAAGTATGGTCAACGACAAATCCGCATTCGTATAATCCAAGCCACTTTCAGCACCAATGGAAAATCAATGTGTGGGCGGGAATTATAGGTGACAAAATTATTGGTCCGTATTTCCTTGACCACACAATGAGCGGTGAAAACTACGGACGTTTTTTGCGAGAAGAACTAAGCAATGAATTTGACGAAATAAATTTAGATCTCGTTCGTCGCATGTGGTTTCAACACGATGGCGCTCCACCGCATTTCTCCCGTTGTGTAAGAAGTTTTTTGGATACTGAATTCGGTGAAAGATGGATTGGCCGCGGTGGACCGGTCAAGTGGCCGGCGCGATCACCTGATGTCACACCTTTAGATTTTTATCTCTGGGGTACGATTAAACAGACTGTATTTCAAAAAAACATGCGATGCCGAGGCAGAAATGCGTATGTGTATAGTCGCAGCCTTTGAAAAAATTCGAAATGGTCCGTCATTATAAGTCAGTGTCACAAATGTAAAGAGTTACAGGGTGGACATATTGAACAACATCTTCGTGGTCGTCAAGTGGAGATAGTGATAAATTAGTGTTTGACCTCAGTGTTCAGTTAGTGTAGGTAAGACGCGCGCGCGCGCGCGGCCCGTCTTTGATGTACGTCACCGCCGGCCGCCGCCCGCCGCTGTCGATAATTCCAGGCAGAGGTAATGAATCCACATAAAATTTACAAATATTATTTAATTAAAATTTAATTTGATTATTTTTATGTCGAGTTTTCTGAAGTAAATTTCTATACGTTTGAATACTGATTCTGATAACGCACTTCACAGGAACCACACACACACAAAGATAGGATATCGTGAGAGAAAGAAATTACAAAATACAATGGTACAAAACATAACTGCAGAGAGATCAGATGAATGTAGTGAGACTGATCAATTACAAGCTAAATTATAACTTAAAAAAAATAAAATTTTATTACAATTCCTTCACTAATTAACCGAAAGGAACTTCGTTCCATCCGGGTGTCCCTTGACACCTCTCAATTATTTTATTATTTATTTTTTATTTTTCACAATATCCTGTATGTATTGATATTAAAACCAGCCAGATAAAAAAAATACAACCAAATAAATTTTTCTTCAAATTTATACAAACGAAATACGAAGAAACTTTTTCGGCCAGGGCTAGTGGGGCCGCGATTGTGTGCGAAAGCATTTCAGTGGCCCAGGCAATATGGAAAAAAAAGGAAACACCATGGGGTTTCAGTTGGTGCGAGTCCAAAATAACCGTTCTTGCCCCCGTAAGGTGGGTACACAGTACCTTTTCATTATTTATTTAATTTACAACTGTTTTACTCTAATATAATGTCTTATATTTTTCAGAGTTCTTAAAACATGTTCTAGCCAACATGATTATTATTAATTAGATAAATCATGCACGCAAGCTAAATTAAACTGTATTGCTGCGCACGAGTGTCCGTATGGCTCTGCATGTTTTTTCGTTCCTACGTTACGGACGCGGACGACTTTCCGTGCTTAAAAAGAATAAAAAATACAGTAAGTATGGTACCTTTTAATTAATTTACTTTATTTACAACTGTTTTACTTTAATATAACAGGTTATATTTTTACAATCTCTATAATAAAGGATATTAAATTTAAAAGAAGAAAATTTATAAAATTAAATTAAATACTAGGACTGAACGGAGTGATAAAATTAATATTCCTGAATAATTTCCTTAAACTAGAAGCTGGATTTTTATAAAATAATGATTTAAATTTTTTAAGCTATTGCATAGCTTCTATCGCGGGCCTTGAGTGCGAGAAAATCCAGAAATTCCGTAACGAAAAAAACCTCACGCTCTCCGACGGGCACGGAGGTGTGGCTTGAAGGCCGTGCATTGTCTAACGATGGTCTAACGTCGTTTCTTTTCCTCAGTCTTCGACACGGTGTTTGTGTATAAAGTGTTTTGAAATTTTGAATATGAATGAACAAAGTGCATTTATTATTAATGAAGAAAGTCACGAAAAAATAGTGAAAGAAAATGAGTGAGTACTCTATATACATACCTACATTTTATTATTATCACAAATGCAGTACTAATTTTGAATTGAAAATATAATACTGCTATAAAGATAACCTAAATTTTTGATATTAAAATGAGCGATATTAAAAGTAGCCCTCTTTATATACACACAAACACACACACACACGCGTATAGTTTAAATTCTCATTTTAGATTCTCAATATGTATATATATACTCGATTAACCGGACTAATTGTTGCCGTTAGGGATTCGGATAATCGAAAATCCGGATGATCGAATGTATGAAGAAAAGCGGGTTTTGTGCATTTGTAGTACATATGTACATACATAATGTTATGTGTTTATTAAAAACAACAATTTCAACGAAAATCAATGTTTATTAAGAAATTATTATTTTTTAATAAACATTGATTAAATTCCATGAAGAGATATAAATCTATATAACCATCCATTACTTGCGACAAACGAGCCGCCGTCACCTAATTTTTTATTTAACTGTAATGCTTTTTCACAAAGCAAAGGGCCAGATATCATTTGCCCAGTTGATCGTTTTTGTAAAAACCAACAATACAAAGCGTCTTCTAATTGCCAATTTACTCGTGGACATAGGTCCTTATGTCCGGGACGGGGGTTTGTTAGCGCCTGATAGTAGATCGTCTTATCTCAAGCGGTGTGAAGCGACGATTAGTGAGGTGCGGGAGGGGGAGGCTAGCTGCATTTGTGCGCGCGGTCAGTCACCCCTAAAGTTGGGCGTTATAACATACAACAGATAATATATTTCATTATATATTATTAATCTTACAACACATTAGAATAATGAACCATTGACTGTTATAATATTATATTCATAATCGTTAGAAAGCGTCATCTGTTTACGTTTACGGTCCAACCGTCGCGTCGGCCGAGACAATGGGAGTCAATAAAATACTACCTACATTCATTATGCCACAAGGATTGCGTATAGCTTACACTAATTTAAACTCTAAGCTAACTTAATAAGAGCTTATTTTACTAACACTAAATTATAACGGTAAACAAAAATATATTATTTCCTTCATTAGTTGCCTGTTGTGCCTGTTATTTAATTTGGCTGTTGTAATATATAATATATCAGTTTAGTGTTCAGTTAGCTGTCTAGCTGAGATGACAATGACACTGTTATCTGTTAAATTATATACGTAATGTTTTGATAGCAGGTCCCCATGTTACGTGAAAAAGCTATTGTTGTTTTTGTTTATTTTTCGTTAAACAAAACGCGAACACAGCCGACGACTGAACTGAACTAACCGCGTGTACAATGTAATATTTAAAACTGTTATAATATATTATAACAGTTTAAAACAACAGTTAGAAAAATATATTACAACAACATAACGAATTAGAAAAATATAACAGTTTCGCCCATCTTTAGTCACCCCTGTTGGCATCGATCCGAGCTAGGGAGCAGACGGCGGGGCCGGGCTGCACCCGGCCCGCCGCTAGGGCGCGCTCCTAGCTAGGCACGCAGCGCCTGCGCCGATGAAGTTCTCCGGTCGCATTATAGGGGTCGCGAGAGTTTTTGCGCGAAGCCGGGTTGTTCATATATTGAAAGTCTCCTTGTTTTGTCTTAGACTTATGTTAATAGAGCGTGCCATTTGAACTTAAAGACAATTAATTGGACAATAAATAATAAGTGACAAATCTTGCCGTGGAGCGTGGAACTGAGTAGTTGTGAGTCTTGTTAATATAATTGCCGTACGGCCGCCCTGACGTATGTACTGCGCGAACCTGAGTTGTTTGCGACGCGGTCCGGTGATACAGTATTTTTCACAAATAGTGAGTTCGTTATAACGCGGGTTCGGTTAAATCTGGTTGAATTTGATTGGATTAACCTAAGTAACTTGAATTAATATCAAAGAAAAAAAAATACTGCATAAATAAAATAAATAAATAATTATAATTGCATAAGTTGATACAAAATGCTATGCAATAGCTTTACCGCGGCAGTCCCCGAGTGCCACACGTCTTTTTTAATGATACTAATACTGCGTTATTAATAATACTACGTTTTTAAAATATTCAAACTTGCAACTAACAAAACAAACAACGTGCTGACTGTGCCAGCGTACCCGGTTTTTTCCAGTCTCGCCGCGAACACTACAAGCGGCCAGCGGTCACGCACACATGCCCTGCGTGCTTGTAGTAGTGCAACCAATTCGCTCGGTTGTATGAACAATTATCTTCACCCTTGCCATTTCAGTTTCCGCTTGCCGCACTGCTACCAAGCGGTCGTGTCAAGCAGTCAGCGCTCCCGTCCCTGTACAGCAGCGCCCCTCTCGCTCGAGCGCTTCCGCTCTCCCGTTCGCACCGGCCGGGCTGTCGCCGTTGGTGAGAGACCTTTCTTAGCACCGTTCTTGCCCCCTCGCTCCGGTGGGGAGGTCTGAGCGATTGTCTTGCTTTGCATTGTTATTTGCTGTTATTGTTCTTGTTATTTTTATTGTTTATGTCTCGCTCTAGTCTCCACTGTCCCTAAGGCATGCAAACCTCCACCTTCTGTCGTGGCTAACTCAGCGACCCTTGACTCTGAAGTCATGGAGCACTCGGACACCGCGTCCGAAACTTCATCCACCCGTAAGAGGTCCGCTCAAACGCCAATCACCTCATCCAGTAGCTATTCCTTGGACTCAACAGACTCCGATCAATCGGTTATTGATACGACCCCCCTTCACGGAAGTGAAATCCAAGCGCGGCTCGAAACGCGTTGCGACCTCTTGCAGACCTCCCGTCCCGGTAGCCTCCACTGCTGCCGCCGCCGCCCGCGCCCCCGCAACCCCTTTCGCCACCCACGCCTCCGCAGTCCCCGTCGCTGCCCCAAAGAAACAGGTCCCGCCCCCTGTCTTCCTCAGGGACAAGGCGCAATTTACAAGACTTTCTAAGCCTGCTACGACGCAGGCTTTCAATATGACCAAGCCACCGACCTCGGTGAGTCAATTAAAATCGTTCCGCAGTCTATGGAAGACTTTAGGAACATCACCAAACTCTTCACATCCGAAGGTGTGCCCTATCACACCTACTCTCTCCCTGAAGAACGTAAAGTCAGGGCTGTCCTCCACGGAGTTCCTTTTGAACTCGCCAACGAGGAAATCCTGGAGGACCTTAAGTCCCAGGGATTCCCAGTTGAGGCTGTGCACAAGATGCACAGCAGTAGGGGCAAGAGGTACTCGCTTGCCCTCCTCATTTTGTCCAACGTGCCGGAGGCTAAAGACATATTCCGATAGGTACACACTGTGTGCGGCCTGTCGAGAGTCAAAGTCAAAGCCCCCTATAGGTGCGGTTTTCCGGCCCAGTGCCATCGCTGCCAACTCTACGGTCATGCGGCGGCCAACTGCTCAGCCCCTCCTCGTGCGGGTCTAGGCACTTAATGCATGCGTTAAGTGCCTAGACCCGCACAGCTCGAAAGAGTGTCCTCGGCCCCGTGATACCGAGTACCGACCCGCTTGCGTCCTTTGTGGACAGACTGGCCATACGGCCAACTTCAGAGGCTGCCCTCGCGCGCCTAGGCCCATTCTCAGCAACAAAGCTGCCAAAAAAGCTCCGCCACCGGTCAATAACCGTACATTCCCGGCTCTCCCATCCAAAATACCCCTCCAGGGCAACTCTCAGTCACCTCAGGACCTATATCGGCCCCCCTCAGGGACCCTACAGGCCTCCTCACCTTCGCCCACTAGGGCTCTGACATCAGACGGAACCCTCTTACGCCGATAACGTAGATACAGTATGCACTGCTATTCGCAATATCGACGTAAGAGAGATCGCAATTTTAGCACGCAAACTGTGCGCTTCTCAGTCCCCTCAGGACCGTCTGCTCGCGCTTACCGAGCACCAACATCTTCTAAATTCAATATAATTAGTCATCCCATTCGTAAGC